ACCATAAAAAAAAAAAAAAAAAAAAAAAAAAAACCACAAAAGAACATGCACACCCATGCTTTTAGCAGCACATTTTATAATAGCTAAATATTGGAAGCAGCCTATGTGTCCATCAACAGATGAATGGATAAAGAAAAAGTAATATTTATACACAATAGAGTGCTACTCTGCCATGAAGGATAAATTGAATCATTTGTAGGAAAATGGATGCATCTCAAGATAATAGTGTTCGATGAAAAGTCAGACAGCTAAAATGTCGAATGGTTTCTCATAGGAGAAACCCAAAATATAAATAGTAAAATAAAAGATAGATAATAGGTTGTAGGGAGATACAGTAGATCTTTCTCAAAGGGGAAGGGGACCAAGAGCTGGAGAGTGAAGGGAGGGGTAAAGGGGGATGAAGAGGAATTAAGATGTTACGTGCAAGCTCTGCTGTGTACTGCAGAAATGGACCGAGTGGTTCCCGTGCCGCCTCCTGCTCCTGTTGCCTTCCCCAGGACTCAGGCTCTGGGGATTATCTCGTTGGCTCAGGGTGGTGCTGGGTCTGACTGTGGGCTGTGCTGGGGCAGCAGCCCTGATCTGTCCATTTTAGTGCCCATCCCAGAAGACTGAAGCGGGGCAGAGATCTTCCCTACAATCCCTGGTTCTACTCGGGGTTCCATGACGGTGCTGATGTTCTAAGGCGCGCTCCACCCAGGGGGAACTGTGGCAGGCATTCAGAGGCCTCACCTGTTCCCACAGATAATAGAGGAACTGGCAGATGCCCTGGCCTACTGCCATGCCAAGAAGGTGATCCACAGGGACATCAAGCCGGAGAATCTGCTGCTCGGGTTCAGGGGTGAGGTGAAGATTGCAGACTTCGGCTGGTCCGTGCACACCCCGTCACTGAGGTAGGTCCGTGCAGCGGGGCCCTGGCTCCGATGAGGTGCGACCCATTGGAGTCCATCCCACCCGTCGAGACTTGGATAGAAACTCGGACTGTGTGTGTTTCTTCATTTGTGTGTGTTCAGGTCCGCAGTACGTAACGATTATATTCATCTTGGGGAGTTGGTACGTTTACACAACACTGTAATTCTTTAATATCCCTTCCCTGGCCCTTCACCCTCCCAACTCTTGGTCCCCTTCCCCTTTCTGTGTCACCCTGTTTCCCATTATTGAGCTTTTCTTTTGCTCTTTAATTTGTTTATACTTTGGTTTTCTCATATAAGAGGAACCAGGTAATAAGTAACCTTTTATGTCTGATTTATTTCACTTCACATTCCGGTCTCAGGGTGCATATGTGATTTTGCCAATAAGATACGGTGTAAACCAGTAGCCACTGCTCTACATTTCCAGGAGTATATTTCTGTATGAAGGAATGGTTTGTTTACTTGATCCCTCTTGGTATGCCATTTTTTTGTTTCATATTTTGTTTGCTTTCTGTTTCTTTGAGACAGTATCTCACTGTGTTTCCCAGACTGGCATAGAACTCACTATGTAAGGCAAACTGGCCTCAAACTAGCAATCCTCCTTCCTCAGCCTCCAGAGTTGCTGTGTTACAGGCATGTGCTACCGTGCCAGACCTTAATGGATGCTGAGAATATGTATATGAAAACGTTCTGGATGAGCTAAATAACATGCCTAATTTCAGAACATGTGATTGGGTCCCCACACTTTCCCTCCGTGAGAGCTGGTCTGTACTAAAACTTGTCCTGAAATCCATGTGCTCGGGAGGCCTCCCCGCGCCCTGGATGTGGGGCCGGAGCACCCTCACCATGGCCTTTGCACTGCCCGCGCCGCCTGCCCCCAGGAGGAAGACGATGTGTGGGACTCTGGACTACCTGCCGCCGGAGATGATCGAGGGGAGGACGTACGACGAGAAGGTGGACCTGTGGTGCGTTGGGGTGCTCTGCTACGAGCTGCTGGTGGGAAGCCCGCCCTTCGAGAGCACCTCTCACAGCGAGACCTACAGGCGCATCCTCAAGGTGCGGTGCTGCGCTGCGGTGTGTGGGCAGCTGGTCGGTGACAGCTGGGGGCTGTGGGGCCGGGGCGCAGAGGCTGTCCACTCAGGTCCAGAGCAGGGACTGCACTGACCAGAGAGCTCAGTAGCTGGGCTTCTCTTCTTCCCGGCCTCCCAGGTGGACGTGAGGTTTCCCCCGTCGATGCCCGTGGGGGCCCAGGACCTGATCTCCAGGCTTCTGAGATTCCAGCCTGGGGAGCGGCTGCCCCTGAGCCAGATCCTGGTGCACCCCTGGGTCAAGGACCACTCCCGGAGGGTGCTGCCCCCCTGCGCTCAGGCGGCGCCCTGACACCCGCTGCCTCTGTCCCTGTGTGTGTGCAGAGAGCTCTCTCGCTCTGCTGCCTCATCTGTGCTGTGTTCCTTTTAAGATGGGAGATGTTAATAAAATCGAATCGTTTAGTGCTAGGTCTTCCTGGAGTGTGAGTTCGTGTGTGACTGGGTAGAATCTTTATTTCTCGTGAGAGCCGCCCAAGGTCATGGCGCCTCCCCCACCCTCTCGGGGACAGTGACCTTCCTGCAGATAGAGGCCCCAGGGAAGCCAGCCTGCTACCCGTTCCGGGTTCCGCAGCATCCGTTTATACATCAGGACCATCACCAACCCGAAACACTGCTTTGTTTGAATAAAACATTTCAGGCCAGGGACTTAGCTCAGTGGTTCCACTGTCTGCCTTGCAATTGCAAGGACCCGAGTTTGATCCCTGGTACCAGGAAAAAAAAAATGTCCTGCCTGGCTGTGCCACTGGTTCTGAAATGGACTCTGGCCCTCATAGCACCTGTTTGTGTCATCTCAGAGCAAAGGCAGCATTGCCCTCGGCCACTGCTGCTGCCCTTCCAGGCTTCCCAGAGGTCCGGGTGGCACTGCCCCCATGGCCATGCTATGCTCCCTGCACCCAAGTAGATAGCCAGACTCCAGCTAGAAACTTCTCAGTAAGCATTGTTTTCACCAGTGTTTCTCCCGACTAAAACCCATCTGGTGGTGGTTTCCTTCAGCACAGTTTTGTTTTGTTTTTTCAATACTAGAAATTGAGCCTTGTCACTGAGCTACATCCTCAGCCCCTGGCCCCTTTTTCTTTGAGCCAGGGTCATGCTGATTTGCCCAGCCTGAGCTCAAGGTTGCCATCCTCCTGCCTCAGCCTCTCAGAGTGCTGGGGTTATGGGCCTATACCACCAACTCTGGCTCCAGTCTCAGTAACACACCCAGTGGATCTGTGTTGAGTGTTCTAGGATGCTGATTCATAGTCTTTAACCTCTATCTTCAGTGCTTACCTGTTTTCTAGCTTCATCCTATTCTTTTCCTTGAGTTTGTTTCTACACAATCAGAGAAATTTCTCTAGTCACCAACTATAGAAATGATCCCTGAAAGTATAGCCTTCTTGAGTTTGTTTCAATTAAATACTTCATAATTCCTAGCAAATTAAGTGACTCATGCATATAAGCCCTGCTATTAACTCATTTGATGTAGATAAACTCACAATATTGGGCAAATTTTGGGCAGGTTGATGAGGACAGGAAAATCACGTAGGCCTCAACAGCGTCTGCCAGGGTGTATTAGCTTTCTGTTACTGTAACAGATACCTGAAGACATCAACTGAGAAAGGGGAAAGGTTTTACTGGGCACAGTGGTGCATAACCGTGAACTCAGCAGCTAGGGAGGCAGAGGCCAGGGGTCCAGAAGTTGGAGCCCAGCCTGACAAATTCAGTGACACCATACCTCAAAATTTTTCAAAAAAAGCTCGGGATACATTTCCATGGTAGAGTGCGTGCCTAGCATGGATTTGGTTTCAGTGACTAAGGGGAAAGGTCTACTGCTCACAGACTTGGAGATATCAGTTCATGCTTGTTTGGCCCTGTGCGCAGAGGTAGCACATCAGGGCAAGAAATTGAAAGAGAAAGGAAGGCGTGGAGCCCCACTGTACCTTCAAGTATAGGCCACCAATGACCACAAATGTCACCAACTCATTATCATTATTATTATTATTGATACAGGGTCTTACTGTCTGGCTTGGGCTAGCCACCAGCTCATGGCTGTCTTCGAGCCTCATTGCTGGGATTACAGACGTGTGTCACCATGCCCAGCTAATTTACTGGTTTACTAATTTACTTTTTTTCTTATTTTTGAGATAAGGTCTCTCTTTGTAGCCCAGGCTTGGCTTAAATTCACAGTGATCCTTGATCCTCGTGACTCAGCTTCCCGAATGCTGGGATCACAGGCATGCGCCCCCAAGCCTGCCTGGCTTGCTTTCTCTGTCTCTTTTTTTGGGGGGTACCAGGGATGGAACTCCAGAACTTGTGCTTTCAAGGCAGGTGGCGCCACCACTGAGCTAAATCCCTGGCCCTTTCCTTTCTCACTCTCTCTCTCTCTCTCTTTCTCTCTCTCTCTCTCTCTCTCTCTCTCTCTCTCTCTCTCTCTCTCTCTCTCTCTCCTTCCCACCCCACACTCTCTCTCCCTCTTGTAATTTACCAACTCAAAGCATCCACCACCTTCCAGCATCACCAAGCTGGAGATTAAGTCTAATGTGTGGGACATTCCAGACCCAAGGAACCACAGGTTTAAGTAATGGAAACCCTCAGATGTGTTTAATGTAGGATCTCAAAGCATGTCCAGTGTCTGGACAGCTTTCCTCCTTTGCACTGATCCCAGATACTCTGGCCTCCCAAGACACACAGAGTAGAGAACTTTAATACATGTTTTACATCCCAGCCCAAAACTATTTCACTGAACCACAAGTGTCATCTTATATGATGATTTAGCTTCATTTATGCATAATCTGCCTATGTGTACAACATCTAAAAAATTAACTCCAGCTGTATTCCTTCATTCAATTAGCATTCTGCCATTGTTATTTTCTGCTTTTAAAATAAAATCTCATAAATGACTAAAAAACTAGAAATACAAAAGGGAAATAGGAAAAAATTAAAACATTTTGAGACCATTTTCTTAGTATATTTTCTGCTTCCATTTTCATAAATATAGGTATCTTCAACTCATTAAAAGCTGTGTTTATGCCTCGCACACACAAGGCCATGGGTTCAAGTTCAAGCACTGCAAAGGAAAAATATAGTTGGGCTTCTTTCCCTCATGTTCATAGTTATGAGAAGAAAAAAAGTCACTGTCTAATGGGGGAAAAAATAACCAAGATAGATTATGTAAAGGTACAAACTCCCAGTAATGAATGTCAGCATATTGTTTACCTAAAACGTACCAATAAAATTAATTTTTAAAAAGTCACTGTTTGAGACAACTCTGCCTTAATGCAGTTCTCAAGATTGTTAAAATTCCTTTGAGATGTTGCTGGGGTGTTTGTTTTGCCTCTGTTCACAAACTTCATATTGAGGAACAAACATGACCATGGCCATCTCCTCCAGCCCCTCCAACACAGACACAGCTATCTTTCCAAAAATCATAAATGAAATTCACAAACCAAGGTACCACTCTAATCTTTTTTTTTTTTTTTGTACTAGGGATCGAACTCTGGACCTTGCACTTGCAAGGCAGGTGCAGCGCCACTGAGCTACATCCCCGGCCCTGTACCACAGTATTCTTAAGCACTGGAAACTGTTCAACCCTCACACTCTGAGGAAGAGCTGTTTTATATTTTTCTGTACTTGTGCACAGCCTGCCTATCTCCTAGAGGAAAAATGGAATGTGGAAGGAAGTACTGATTATAACACTCCAGTTCACACCTGGAGTTGCACTACAAGAGGGAGGGAAAATGGCCAGAGGTACCTTATGTTCAGACTTTCTTGGCATTGAGAACCTGACTCATGTTCAGACTACAGATTTGAGCCATAGAAATGCAGACACCTCTGGTCCTTAAGGCACCACCTGCTCAGCTACCAAGCCTGAAGTCCCCTCCTTGTCCTTTGTACCCTAAGGATGAGAACTAAGTCTTTCAATTATTTTAAATTGTCAACTATTAGAAAAAAGATGAGCACCTCCTGGAAATAAAAATAGTTGGACTCACCTTTGTCTGTTTCTTTAGAAGGAACAATTTTACGTGGCTATCAAAACAGCAGTTTTGGCTATCAGCTGTTGGAGACCAGAGGAGCGCCGAGGCCTAATTGGCTTCCTCCGTGAGCACAAAAAAGAAAGGGTGATTGCATATTAGGGAGAGTTAAGACAGCAGAGGTTAAGTTGTTTACCAGAGAATGCCTATTGGAAGGCAGATGAATCCTGTGTTATTTTGATTGCTTGTGCCCGTGTTTGGATGAATAAAAGCAAGGTGAGCCAAAGGCTTGGGGTCCTCTGCCTGCTAGAGGGGGAAGCTCTCTGGCTGCCCGCTTGTTAAGCAGGAGGAGGCGCTGAGAGGCTGTATAGATGGTTCCAAAAGTAATGCCTGAGGAGACTTAACTGACTTCGATAAATAGCAAAAAGCTAATTTTGATTAACACAGGTCTCACTTTAACTGGTTGTAAACCCCCAGCACAAAAAGTATGACCAAAAGATATACAAAAATAATACCATAGTAATAAAGGATAGATATACAAAGGGAACTCCAATCACTGACCCGTGCTGGCAGTTTCCAGCTGCACTTGTAGCTGACCACTGTTATAGTTCAATACAGTGGGAGCTGTAAAAGCTCAGGAAGAATCTTCACATTCCAGCTAAAATTGTCCTTCAAAACTACTGAACTCTCCATCTTACATCAAAAATGGGGGGGACTTATGCACTAATAAATGAAATTTGTCTTTAGATAAATAATTCAGATCTGTTGAAAAACATCTTAAAGGAAATATCAAACTTATAACCTCCATCAGTAGAGAGGTCTAGGAGCCAGCTTAGAATCTCAGTTCCAGTCCTTCAGAGCAGTGTTTGGATGTGGCTCTTTCCCCAACCGAACTTTCCATACTAGTGCCCATGCTTTGATTGTATGTGCCTTCATATCTTGGAAGAAATTGTTTATTTTCATTGCCAAACTCCAAGTGATCATGCAGATGGAACCAACAACAGATGTGCTAGACTCGGGCTGGGGATTTGGCTCAGTGGTGCTGCTTCCTGCCTCACAAGCACAAGACCCTGAGTTCGGTCCCCAGTACCAAAAAAAAAAAAAAAAAGGGCTGGACTCCTTTCACTGGAATCCACTAGAATCACGTAAAAAAAAAAAAAAAAAAAAAAAGTGCTGGACTCCTTTCACTGGAATCCACTAGAATGACGTTGTAAAGGGAGTTTATAACCGCTATACCTTGACATGATTTATATCCACAGCCAATTAGATTAGCTCTCTGGAGGTTGCCAAATGTGATCTTCCCTACACTGATTTCTCATATTGAAGCAGCTAGAAGTCAATCAAAAATAAAGACATCAGGGGCTGGGGATTTAGCTCATTGGTTCTGCCACCTGCCTTGCAAGTGCAATGGACCCAAGTTCGATCCCAGGTACCAAAAAAACCAAATCAGAATTGTAGCTGAAAGCACATATGAAGAAAGTGAGGCCTTTATTAAGATAGTCACAATGACCAGATTTATGTACTTCCCTAAGGGATAAGCAGAACTGTAATTGATCTTACCCAGTCCATTCAGTCCCGATGTGCATCAGACACCCAAGGTAGGTGACCAGAGCACCTGGACCCATCCTTTCCCAACATGTTCTTGTTTTTGAAGTCATAGATAAGCCTAGCTTAGTGATATCAGCCATATGCCTTTGCTACATGCCCAGCTTCCCTATTGGATCAGTATTAGCCAAGCAGCTCTGCTTGTAATCTTATTAGTTTATAGTTTGACCCGCCTTTCACCCACATTTGCTGTATACATTACTCCCGACTAATGCCTCATTGGAACCCAATTCCTGTCTCTCAGGAGCTATCTCTTAATAAACCTTTCCTACTGATAACCTCTTGTTCTTTGGAATTCATTCTTCGATTTCTGGGGATATGAACTCAGCACATCTGACATCTAACAGGTTGGGAGTTATAATTCTCCTATATCTGTACGTTGGGAATGGGGCAGGACAGAGCCAGATGGGTGGAAGATTTCATCTTGGAGTACAATAAAATGTATGAATGGCGTCCTTATGTATGTATGTTATGTATGTATGGATTGATTGATTAATTGACGCTAGGTAGCCAGAGCTCAAACTCGCGGCGACCCTCCTGCCTCAGGTTCCCAGAGTGCTGGGATAGCATGCGAGCGCTTTTCAAGCTTTGTGAAGAAGGAAGCTGGGCTCAGGAGCTTTTGCCTCCTGAGGGCAGCAAGGAGAGAACTACGTTACCCAGAAAGACCTGCATGCGTTGTCCAAGGCGCTGGCCAATGATGGCCCAGGACGGGAGCGCTTCCGGCGCGTCGCGGATTCGGGGCGGGCCTTCCGGCTCGTTTTGGTGACGCCAATTGGGCGCGTCGGTTCCGTCCACGCCGGCCCTGACAAGAGGAGCGTTGTTCTGAGATCTAGTGCCGGAGCGCTTTTCTGAGGGAAGCGCAAAGCAGGCCAGACCGCGCTTCTGCGCGCCCGGCCTAGAAGTGAGCTTGGCTTGTCGGTCCGCCAAGGTCGCCCGCCGAGGCCAGGGAGGCTGTGGGGGTCGTCAGCCCTTCGGTCTCGCCGTCCGCGATGGCGGCGGTGCGGGTGGACCCGTCGCAGGTGAGTGGACGAGGGTTCTGGTCGCCGCTTCTCTGCTCGGTGGAGGGGCTGAGGCCAAGACGGTCACAGGTTTCTTTTTGTTCGTGTTTATTTAGGAAAAGAGGAGCAGGCGCGTCGCTGAGTTTCTCTCCAGCTCAGCACACGGGGAGCTGGACAGACAGACAGCAGCCAGGCCGTGCTTAAAACTAAAGCCTGCAGCTAGTCTGTACCAGCCTGCCCAGTTTTCTGGCCAGAGGCCCCTTAGATACAATAAGCAATTCTGGAAGTCAGCCTGCTCTGTGTCGTACTTGTAGAAAGCAAATTACCGTCTCTTGTGACAGTGCACGAAGCCAGTTACTTCTGTAACAGGCAGCTCCATACGGCCAGGATTTGATTAATAACCGGCTGCCCTTATTAAAATAACCAGAGAAGCCGCATACACACCTCTCACTAATCAGGTGGGTTGCTGCTGCTTTGCTGGTTTCCCCTGCTACATCTTCCCCATGCCCATAGTGCCAGGCCTGCCTACGGGGGCTTAACTTGTTGAAAGAAAAGTGAGGCTCCATGCCCTGGTCTCCCATCACATGGCTAATCCAGACTCCACATTTCTGCACGCCCCTCCTTCATCTGCTGTGGCTACCCCTTGTGATCGCATTACTTTCCCTCCCTCTTCCCTGTCTCGCAGTTATTTGATACACTACCCTGACTATGCAGTGTTCTCTTCGCTCTCCCATCCTTTGCTCGTGTAGCTCACTCTGCCTAGCATTATCCTGAGATTTCTTTGAGACTGACCTTTGCATTTTTGGGAGGTTCTGCTCACATGTCACTTCTTTGGAGAGGCTGTTCCTGGCAGTTTAGGCTAAAGTGGGCTTTTTTTTTTTTGGTACCGGGGATTGAACTCGGGACCTTGAGCTTGCAAGGTAGGCCACCCAACCGCTGAGCTAAATCCCAGGCCCTCTAGCAGAAATTTGAAATGCTGCTTAGTTGAGGTTTTTGAGGATGTTTTGGAAGAAAAAGCCTAAGTGATAAAACAAGAGCTGTAATAACTGGCTTTCTTTGAATCTACAATGTGGGCATTATTTATCACCTCATTTAATTTTGATCTTTGACTTAGGTTCTGTTATTACCTCTGTTTTGCACCAGAAGAGTACAGGACTGACATGTGTCCAGTGTCACACAGCACTGAGTAGAAGTGACCCTTTGTATGTGGGCTAGGTTTTTTTTCTTTTCTTTTTGCACTACCAGGGATTGAACCCAAGGCTTTGTACTTGCTAGGCATGCATTCTGCCACTGAGCTACAGTCCCAGCCCTTAATCCTTTGTTTTTACAGCCAGTGGCTGGGAAGCTGTGTAAGAGATACCTGAAGTAAGCTTGGCAAGTTGAGCAGGTGATCAGGGGTTCTTCAGCAAAGAGCTGCCTTCGCTATTAGGAGCAGAACACAACTGGGTAAAGGTGAGGTGTGTTGGCTATTTAAGGAGGGCTGAGAAGGCCTGTGACTTGAAATTTCCGTCTGGAAGTCACTGGTTTTAAGGCTACCTGCTGACAGGGCTTGGTGGGAAGAGGGGAGGCTCACGGTTCCTTTGCAGTCTTCCTGGGAGTATGTAAAAGCTAGGGAGGTGGACTGATAATGAGAAGGTGAGCTGCCCCAGACCCTGGTGCTCCCCAGGGGTTTGGCATCCCATGGGATCCTCTCCTGATTTTGGTGATAAAGACTCTGCACACCTCAGAAGTATTTGGGGGAGCTGCTGAAACAGATTGATTAAAAATTGGTGGAAATGCCTAATGAGCTTCTCACTGTAGGTTTATATTGTGATAGAAGATGATTAGTGTTTACTTTTTAAAAATTCTTTTTGTGTGTGGGGGGAGTACCAGGGATTGAACTCAGGACCTTGCACTTTCAAGGCAGGTGGTGGAACCACTGAGCTAAATCCTCAGCCCTATTAGTGTTACATTATTAAAATCTGGGCAGCAATCCTGTCTCTAAGGATGAGATGGGAGACTGGACTCAGGTCACTGTGACACAGGCTTGACTGATGGTGGTGGTTACCTCAGAAGCTGGGAAAGGATTAACAGAAGTCCTAAAGTCTGTGAAGCAGGAAATATTTTCTCCCTGTGAACGAACACAATTAACATAGTTGGAACTGCCATATTAATCTGGAAGTCAAGGCTCAGGGGTGAAGTGAGGTTGCAAAGGTTGCACGGCCATCAAGTGTCAGTTTTAAGAGTTTGGATTCTGATTCCGAGAGTCTCACTTTAGATCTGTGGATGTGTAGTCATTAACAAAATGTGAAGCCCTCAGCCTGGGGCAGGCATGGGGCTGGGCCCTTGTGGCTCAGGTATTGCTGCTATCATTGGAATTGTCATTGTCACTGATTTTCTGTCATTCCTCTGATGTCTGGAGCCCTGACTGTCCACATCTCACAGCCCACAGTTTCCTGTGTTGTATTATCTGATGGCCCCCACATAGGGGTTTTCTCCTTTGCAGTGCTGCATTCAGTCCACATCCCCATCTCTTGTTCCCTTGAGCTCAGCACAGAACATGGCCCACAGGAAGTGTGGTACCAGCAGGGCTGTGCTCTCCCTGTCTCTGGTGTTTCTAGCCAGCCACATCAGACAGCCCGTCCAGGAGCTGAGGTCAATTCTAACACTTCTGCTCAACTCCAGGTGCCTGTGACCTTCGAGGACGTGGCCGTGACCTTCACCCAGGAGGAATGGGGGCAGCTGGACCCAGCTCAGAGGACCTTGTACCAGGAGGTGATGCTGGAGAACTGCGGGCTCCTGGTCTCACTGGGTAAGGCCACCTCCCACTTCAGAGCAGTGGACTTGGCTGCAGGCTGGGTTGGTCACGAAGGCTGCTGGAGCCTGCCCTGCTCCTGCTCACAGATTCAGTCCTGTCCTACACTCACGTCTGCCAGGCTGGTCCTCCTGTGTCTCTGGGTGGGAAACAGTGCCATTTGGCTCCCAGGGTGCTGTGGAAGGGAAGGGAGTGGAAGAAACCAGAGGCAAGATTTCTGGTCAGGCTCCAGGAGGGACTGAGAACCACCAGGATTACAGCCTGACTTCTACATTGGCCTGCTTACGTCACTGTCTATGAAGATTGGCTTTTACTGCTTTAGCAAGATTGCAGCATGCATGCCACCCCAATCCTTGCTCCTAGTGGGTCAGGTTCCTGGTCTTTACTTTATGTTTCTGTTTTCCTTTCTCTGCACCTGACCTTTGTGAGGCAGTTTGAGGGAATAGATGACACCCCAAAGCTCACACTTCCTTCCAACTCTCAGCTGGTGCTCATCATAGTCTGGCCTCTGCCTGAGGTTCTTGGATCAGCATCCTGTTTCTGCCTGGACTTGCACCTTCTGGGCAGTGTTGCCCAGTTCTGTGGTTGAACAATACAAAGACCAGAGATGGCTGGACCTGGTTCTCCATGTGGCTCATCTGTTCTGTCCTATACTCTGCTCAGCCCGAGCCCTGGTTTATTCCCTGTGAAATGGTGCTCATTACCAGATCACTCCCTGGAGTGCTGTGAGAAGATTCCGAAGGAGTCCAGTAGTCTATAACCTACAAAAAAGCTATGTAAAACTTGGCTTGGATCTCAGCAGAGACATAGTTCAATGCAGATATGCCCTTCTGTGCTCTCTGCAGACAGTTTGTGTGCTGGAGTCTGTGTCCTCAGTGTGGTAAGCTGAGGAGTAGGACCTTTAAGAGGCATTGCTTAGTACAAGGTGGTTAGATCATTGAGGATATGGCCTTCCCAGATGTACTTACCAGTGGAGTTCTCATGGTACCAAGGGAGTTCCTGTGAGACCAGCTAGTTGTGTAAATGAGCAAACCTGGCCCCTCTTACTCTGGCTTCTGTCTCCTCATATGATCCCTCTCACTTCTCTTCATTGTATTATCCACCTTGAGGCCTAACCAAAGGGTTGCTCTGTCTGAGACTTTCAGTCCTCAAATCTATAAACCTGTTTTCCTTTTTTCTTTGAACATAGGGGTCCTCTGCCACTGAGCCCTTTTTAAATTTGTTTGTTTTTGGTACGGGGATCAAACAGAGGAGATTGTGCTTGCAAGGCAGGTGGTGGCACCAATGAGCTAAATCTCCAGCCCTTAAATTTTTTGTCTAAAGACAAGGTCATGGTAAGTTGCCCAGACTGGGCTTAAACTTGCAGTTATCTTTTCTCAGCTTCCTAAGTAGCTAAGATTATAGGCCTGTGCCACCATGCCTAGCAGTATTGTTCAGCTTTGGAATGGTACATTGGAGTTGTTACTTGTTCCAGTGAAAACTCCACTGAGATGGGTTATCCTCCATCAGTATTAATTGTTGATTTACTGTTTGGAGTAGTTTCTATGGCAGCATGGTGTGGCAAGCCCTTGGCTTCCAGGTCACAAGCTCGGTGGTTTGTGTTGCTTCCTTCCAAAGTCTGGTCTCCTGAAGGCCTAGATGACTGAGTTTCTTTATCTCTTGTCTTTTTGTTTGTGGTACCTTTACACCGAGGTACATCTCCAGCTTTTCTTAAATACTGGGGGAGGAGGGGGGAGGAAGGGAAAAAGGATTAAAAGCATTGAAAGGAGGGGGCTGAGGATTTAGCTCAGTGATACTGCCACCTGCCTTGCAAGAGCAATGTCCTGAGTTTGATCACTGTTACCAAAAAAAAAAAAAAAAGAGAGAGAAAGAAAAAGAAAAGAGTTGAAGGGATAAAAATGGAAACAGAACTTTTGCCAGTAGGGAGGGGAGTGGGACCCCCCCAAAAGAGAGTTAAGATGTGTTATGTGTTACAAGTTCCCCATGATGTATATGATCATTATCTACTGCAAACATATGCTAAAAAATAAATATAAGTATATAACATTTAAAAAGTAAAAACCTAACCATTAAAAGATTGTTTTTAGGCTGGACATGATGGCGCATATCTGTAATCCCAGCACTTGAGAGGCAGGAGTATTGCTGTGATTTCGAGGCCAGCCTGGGCTGCATAGTAAGTTCAATGCCAGCCTGAACTTCATAGTGAGACCCTGTCTCAAAAAAAAGAGATTGTAAATTTTGAGATAAGGCCCTACTGAGTACCTAAATTGCTTAGCCTGGGCTCAAACTGTAATGCTCCTGCTTCAGCCTCCCAGAGTGTTGAGGTTAAGCTGGCATTATGAGTATACCCCCATCACATCTGGCTGCTTTATCTCTTTTTACCAAAATCCATGCATCCACATTTTTTTCTCCCTGACCAGGGTGTCCTGTTCCCACACCTGAGCTGATCCAGCAGCTGGAGCACGGGCAGCAGCCATGGACAGTGAGGCTGGGCTGTGACCAAAGCACACGGCCAGGTAAGAGCCGGGGTGCGGGTGGGGGACCACCACCTGGAGCCTTGGGATTTTTTTTTGTTTTGTTTTGAGATGGAGGGGTGCTGAGGATTGAACCCTAAGCCTCTATATGTCACTAAGTTGCCCAGGCTGGGCTTGAATTTGCGATCCTCCTGCCTCAGCCCCCCAGCCTCCTGGGATCACAGGCGCACACCCCACGCCCATCTTGGGACCATTTTATTGTGGCCCGGTGGGGATATTGGAGCCACGTAGCCCTTTGTCCTGTGGCTCCTCTGATCTCCCAGCCAGCCCCACCCCTGCCCACTTATCCCTGCTCCTGGGAAGGGGCAGGTTTGTGAGCTGACTATCTCCAGGTGCTCTTACTGAACTCTAAAATCTCTGTAGCTCAGCATACATAACTAAATGATAGATAAATAAGGTGAATTTTTAAAAACTTATTATAATAAAATATACATTGCCATGAGTCCCTCTCAGAATCTTCTTTCCTAAGTGTCTTTAGTTGTGCTATTATAGCTGCTTCAGTTCCTTAAGTGATTCAAAATATTTGATTTTTCACCATCATTTAGACTGGGGAAAAGGTAAAGATGGTAGGGTACCAGATCTGGTGAGTAAGGTGGATGAGGATACACCATTATGTTTTTTCCGAGCCTGGCATTCAGCAGTGGCACTCACTGTATTTTTCATCACACCTTGTAAAGACATGAAAGAAGACTTCCGGAACTGCTTCAGAAAGATGCTAGAACTATGATGAGATGTGTATTTGAGTGTGTGTATTAATAGCAGTCTGTCTCTTAATGTAAGTACTGAGATTTTTATTACAAGCATTCATTATATTTTTCACTCACATCTTGTATCTTTCTCAATCGTACCAAAAGTTTCAGAGGGTCATGGGGATCCCTGTACCCATACAGTTAATCACAGACCTGGGCACATTCTGACTTCAAGCTGTTGCTTTAAGGTTGTCCTGACTTCTTTCCAGCTGGCACAGAATTGAAAGGAGGGGACCCCACACCCACACCCCGGAGCAGCAGTTCCGCTCGTGTTCCTCCCCCGGGAGTAGTCCTTGGCTGCCTGTGTGTCCATGGGGTTTGGATATGTGGCCCAGCTGTGTATCCTAGGAGAACAGGAGCTTTGCTAGTGGGGGAGGCTTTCTCCCCCTGGCTATTTGTAATTTCTATACCCAAATCCAGATGTGACTCCATCTCTTTCAGCATAAAAATGCACTAACTTTCCTTACACTTCAAGAAAATAAAACAAGTGAGTCAGTGCCTGTGCTGAGATTTCATGTATCCATTTGCTTTCTGAGCGTCTCACTGTTGATGTGTTTTCCTATTCATTGGTGGTGATGCTGTCAGTTTTGGCATCACTTTCCACATATGTAGGCTGGTTTTTAATGTTTCTGGGATTCACATGATTGAATTACAAACTTTAAATGTAGATGTTTATAGGATCATTCCTGTTGTTTTCCGGAAAGCTTATACCAGCTTGTATTCTACCAGGGAGGAATGGACAATTCCCTTGATCTGTTTCCTATCCCATTCTTTGTAGTGTAAGGCTTCTCAATTTCCACCAAATGGGCACAACATAATATCTCACATGCTCTTGATTTTCATTTTATACATTACTGTAGGGTTTAGTAACTTATGTAATTTTTCACCAGTCTTTTTTCTTCTGTGAAATGTCATTTCAGATAAATGCCTATATTTCTTTGTTTTCCTTTCTCATTTTGTTTTGTAAGGGTTCTTTCTATATTCCTGGCACTTTCTGTTGTTGTTCTAGTGTTGTGATTGAACTCTAGGCCTTGGGGATGCTAGGCTAGGGCTTCCTGGGTTCCTCACCCCCAACTCACATTCCTGATGTCTCTGCCAGTTATGTATGCTGCTCGTGTATTTGGTTCCATGTGTGTGTGGGTTCTGAGCTCCTGTTTTTCCTTTGCCTTGTCTCTGTCCTGTCCCACTTTTCTTGTGAGCCCTGTTCTGAGAGAGGCCATGCTCAGTACCACTGTCACCTGCATCAGCATCTTGAGAGCCAGCCTCCTTTTTCTCTGTGCTTGTCACCAGCACTGTCCTGCAGTTTTAAACATTCTTTGAGGCTACAGTACCCTTCTCTCTTTCCCTCTGTGGCAACTCTTTTACAGCCTGTAGGACTCCCCTTTTGGTACTGGGAATCGAACTCAGGACCTTGTACTTGCAAGGCAGGCGTGTTGCTACTGAGCCGAATCCCTGGCCCCAGGACTCCCCTTTTTTGGATACTTGCAATTGAAAAATCCCTGATCTCTTTCCACCCAGGATTAGGCAACTCAAGGTTAAGAACAGGGTCCTTCAAGATTGCCAGCCCTGTTCAACTCCTCGGATGCCAACTACAAGTTCATGATTTGCCCAAAGCACCTCAGGGTCACTAATTGGCTAAAAAGACTCACCAAACTCTTTAAAACCTATTGACTCAGTCACGTTTGCTATAGAGTGTGTATCAGAAGAGATGCCAGATGTGGGGCAGGTGACCCGGGCATGATATTTCCATGTCTTCAGGGAATTGTTACCCATCTAGCATCCAGGAATGTTATTGAGCACCTGGAGTGTTACTGAGCCAGAAAGGTGAGCATTTTCGGTGGGCAGTTTCACTGTGTGTCATTATACACACATACACACCTGAATCATTGCCTTGTGATTCAGTCTGCAGCCCATGTCCCTTTCCATACAGCTGCTATTTTCAGCTCTTTCTTTTTTTTCATTAAAGTAGTGCTTTTGTTTCTTCTGGGTTGCCATTACTAACAGCCCTACTCTGTGTTGGATTTCTTTCAGATGACCATGGAAAAACCAAAGCCACAGAACCCGCTGCATCTGAGCCAGCCATGTGCAAGAGAGCCAGGCTTCAGGGACAGTTGATGCATGGAGCTTCCAGGGCCTCCCCGTGGGTGCAAGCTCTGGGTCAGGGCGGCCCAGCAGACGGCCAGGAAGGATGCTGGAGAGTGGGGGTGCAGGCCCCAAGGGAGAAGCTTCCTGGGAGGACGATCCCTGGCCCTGGGGGCTTAGGGACAGATGACAGAGTTTATCTGAGGACTATGGAGGAGCGGGTCTCTGCAGGAGATGCTGTCCCACCCCATGCAGCACACAACCCCAGAGGAGATGCTGTGCTCGGGGAGGAGGAAGAAAACATCTTCAGGTGTAGTGAGTGTGGGAAGGTGTTTAACAAGAAACGCCTTCTTGCTCGACATGAGCAGATCCACTCTGGAGTGAAGCCCTATGAGTGCATCGAGTGTGGGAAGACCTTCAGCAAGAGCACCTACCTCCTCCAACACCACATGGTTCACACAGGGGAGAAGCCATATAAGTGCATGGAGTGCGGCAAGGCTTTCAACCGCAAATCACACCTCACCCAGCACCAGCGCATCCACAGTGGAGAGAAGCCTTATAAGTGCAGTGAGTGTGGAAAGGCCTTCACCCACCGCTCCACATTTGTCTTGCATAACAGGAGCCACACTGGAGAGAAGCCTTTTGTGTGCAAAGAGTGTGGCAAAGCCTTTCGAGATAGGCCAGGGTTCATTCGACACTACATCATCCACAGTGGGGAGAACCCCTATGAGTGCTTTGAGTGTGGGAAGGTCTTCAAGCACAGATCATACCTCATGTGGCACCAGCAGACGCACACGGGTGAGAGGCCCTATGAGTGCAGTGAGTGTGGAAAAGCATTTTGTGAGAGCGCGGCCCTCATCCACCACTACGTCATCCACACTGGGGAGAAGCCATTCGAGTGCCTGGAGTGCGGCAAGGCCTTCAACCACAGGTCCTACCTCAAGAGGCACCAGCGCATCCACACTGGGGAGAAACCCTATGTGTGTGGTGAGTGCGGGAAGGCCTTCACCCACTGCTCCACCTTCATCTTGCACAAAAGGGCCCACACTGGAGAAAAGCCCTTCGAGTGCAAAGAGTGTGGGAAAGCCTTCAGCAACCGGGCAGACCTCATCCGCCACTTCAGCATCCACACGGGAGAAAAGCCCTATGAGTGCACAGAGTGTGGCAAGGCCTTCAACCGCAGGTCAGGCCTCACCAGGCACCAGAGAATTCACAGTGGGGAGAAGCCCTATGAATGTATCGAGTGTGGGAAGACCTTCTGCTGGAGCACAAATCTCATCCGCCACTCCATCATCCACACGGGAGAGAAGCCCTATGAATGCAGTGAATGCGGAAAGGCCTTCAGCCGCAGCTCTTCACTCACACACCATCAAAGGATGCACACAGGGAGAAACCCAGCCAGTGGTGAAGAGGAGGGACAGCCTTTCACAGATGCACAAGCCTCTGTCAACGTCCAAGAACTTCTACTGGGAAATGACTTCTTGAACGTAACCAGTGAAGAAAAGCTTTTACAGGAGAAAACAACTTACATGACATCTGACCATTCATACCAAAGAGAAACCCCCCAGATGTCTTCACTGTGAGAAAACCCTTTGTAGAGTGTTATTGCCATCTGAACACTTATGCTAGAAATGGACCCAACCTAGGATGCTGTGCTTTTTTTTTTTTTTTAAGACATTATGCTTTATCTGAGATTTCATCCAGGAGAGAGACCCAGTGGTTATTTTGCACTGAGGAAAATCTTTAGCTACATTTTCCTTCACAGTTTAGAGTGCAATGTTATGTCAGTAATTTTTATTAAAAGGAAGTGACAGAAAAGACAATGAAACGCAAGCAGTGCTTCTTTCACGTTACCCTATGAAGTCTGTGGCACTTGTTCATTCTTATTTGGGTGGGAGGGTTGGTTTAAGAGGTAAAGGATCTTGACGCTGTGTGTATTTTGTGTATGTTCATTGCTGTCCAGTCAAGAGTTAAAATGTTGAGAGCAAGTGTAGAAATGTACTGAACACTTCATTGTTGTACCTTGTTGCTTTTGTGCACCATAAGTTTTTATGAGGAATATGAAGACTCAAGTTATGAAATCCTTTTATATTTAAAGAGAGAAGGCAAAACAGGTGCTGCATGTGACGTTGGGAAATTGAATCCAAGATCATGAGCATGTTAAGCATGTTCTCTACCACTGAGATACACCTGCAGCACCAGAAAATATAAGCAAATGGGCACTTTTTTTGTACCACTTAAGACTGTTTAAATCTTTGCTTTTAAAAATTTAAATGTAGGACTGGGGATTTAGTTCAGTGGCTCCTCTGCCTGCCTCACAAGCTCAAGGTCCTGAGTTCAATCCCTGGTACCAAAAAGAAAAAAAAAATTTAAATGTGGTTTTAAACACCAGTCAGAATTTTTCTTGATCTCCCCAACTGTTGTTTTACTTGATTACTATAGCTGTATAGTAAATGTTAAGATTGAGTAAAGTGACTCCTTTTTATTTGTATTTAAAAATGATTAACACTTTTTTTTTTCATTTTCTGTATATACTAGGCTTAGCTTTTCTGCTTTTATAATGAAATCTGGCTTAGCTGTTGATATCAATTTGCATAAAATCTATATCAGTTTGTTGAGAATTGGTTTCCTTTCTGTGATAAGTCTTCCAATTAATGAACATGGTACATCCTTACAGTTAAATATTCCTTGATTTATTCCATTACTGTTGTATAATGTACAGCATAAGCGCTTTTTGGTAACTTCCAACTTTAATGAAGTCAGCATTTCTAGCCATTTTGTTGTTAGAGAATCCTTGGGATTTTAAACATAGACATATCATCTGCAAATAGTTTTATTTCTTCTTTGCATCTATATACCTTTTATAAACACTCCCCTTTTAAGGACTGAGTTCCATTCCTGTGACTAGGTCATTCAATAAATTGGTCTAAAACTACAGTATTGTAACAGTACAATCAGTAAAAGTTACAGTACTGTATAAACGAGGTATTCTGTTACAAAGAAGACTTTGAGGCTCTATAAACAAGATGTACAGAATTATACCAAAAGATAGGGTCATAAATCCATGCAGCAGGTCACAAGTCTGAGCACTCATTAAATGGGTGTGTCATTGAACTATGACTGTATTTCTTTTTTTGTGTTAGCACTCTATTTAGGTTTTCCAGTGTGATACTGAATAGGATTAATGAGAACTCATCCATATTTAGTTTATGATATTAGAGGCAGAATTTCCAGTTTCTCATAATGTGTTAAATGTAAGATTTTTTTAAAAATTATTTTTGAGATAAGGTCTCACTGTGTAATTCAGGCTGGCTTTGAACTCACTATGTAGCCTAGGCTAGCCTTGAACTTGCAGCAGTCCTCCTGCCTCAGCCTGCCGAGTGCTGGGATTACAGGCGTGCACCATCACACTTGGCAAGATTTTTTTTTTTTAAATCGAGTTTAGAACATTTATGTTCATAATTTGCTGAGATTTGTTATAGTTAAGTTTTGGAATTTGTCAGATGCTTTTTCTCAGTTGATCATGATCTATGGTCTGACAATGCAATGTATTATATATTGCATTTTAATTTACATCTTTGGTGATGGAATATAATTGTTTATATATTGTTATTCCATTTGTTAGTTTTTGCTGACGTTTTTTCTAATTTTATTCTGTAGTTTGTTTGTGGAGATGCATTGTACTATCACTCTGGAGTCAGGGTGTTTTTAGCCTCCCAACATTAATTCTGAAGTATTCTTTCTGCTTGAATTATTTGGAAGATAGCTTGTGAAGTTGGTGTTATTCTTGTAATTGTTGTGGAGCATTTGGGCCTGGAGGTTCTTTGAGATGTTTAATTATGTATTTATTTTATTTAATAGGTACAGAATTATTAAGAGTATTTCATATTGGATTGATTTTTATGCTTGATTTCATTTCATTGAAATGAATTGTTCCATTTCATGTATATTTTCTATATGTTTGTAAGCATTCAAACATTTCCTTTCCTTTTGATGGCGGTAGGATCTGTACATATATGCACTATTTTCTTCCTAACATTGGAAATAGATCCATTCTCTTTTTGTCTTTGTAAACTCTTAACTGTTGTCATTGTCATTTCAAATTAATTGGCACTTTTTATCAATTTTTTTCCCTGATATCTTTTTATTTTCTGTTTGCATTATTTTTCAGTGCTGGGGATTAAACTCAGAGACTTATGCTGTCTCTAGGTAAGTGTACTACCACTGAACTACTTTCCCACCACACCTCCATTTAAAATTTTTTTTACAGAAGCCGGGCATGGTGGCGCATGCCTGTAATCGTAGCACTCGGGAGGCTGAGGCAGGAGGATCTCTGTGAATTCGAGACCAACCTGGTCTACATAGTGAGTTCCAGTTCAGTCTCAACTACATAGTGAAGACCCTGCCTCAAAAAACTTAAAAAACAAACAAAAATTTTTTTACAGGATCTTGCTAAATTACCCATCCTGGCCTCAAGCTTGCCATCCTCCTGCTTTGTCCTCCTTAGTACTACTGCTGGGATTACAGCACAGCCATGTGGGGCTTCTGTTATCTCTTCTTTATTCACTGAGTTTTGTTCTGATCTGTATTGTGTCATTTTTTTCTGCTTGCTTTGCGTGTATTTGGTTAGCTCTTAATGATTTCTGGCGGTGGATGTTTCTATTACTGATTTAATTTTTTTTCTATCATAAGCTCTAAATTCTGTAGATTTCTATCACAGCACTGTTAGCTTCATCTCTCAGGTTTTAAAATGTTTTAATTATATTTCATTCAATTCTGAAACTTCCTGTTTGTTTTGAGACTTCCTCTTTTTAATGCATGAATGATCTAGAAGTGTGTTAATTTTCTAGTGGTTTTTTTTTTTCCCCTGCTGTTTGTTTTGGTTTCTAATTTCTTTCAGAATTGGCTCCATTGAAATTTTTTTCTTGACCCAGGATGTTTTTCCCTCTTCTGTATGGTTGCTTGAAAAAAATGTATGTTCTACTGCCACTAAGTACAGTTTCTGTAAATGTCTGTATGAACCTGTCTGCTGGTGATATTATTCAGACATTCTACATCCTTGATGATTTTCTATGTTTTGTTTTGTTTTTTCTTTTTGTTTATTTACTGTACTGGAAGTTGAACCCGGGTCCTTCACACTGAGCTACATTTTCAGGCCTATTTTTATGTTTTGTTTTGATTTGGTTATTGTACTAGTATCAAACTCAGGACCTTGTGCTTTCAAGGCAGGTGTGGTGCCACTGAGCTAAATCCCCAGCCCATGATTCTTATGTTTTGAGGCAGGTTCTCACTAAATCATTGAGTTGCCGAACTTGTGATCCTCCTACCTCAGCCTCCCAGAGTGCTGGGATTATAGGCATGTGCCACCATATGTGACTTTCTCCAATATTTCTCTCAATTGCCAAGAAAGGGGTGCTGCAGTCCTGAACTATAATTGTGGAATTTTTTGTCCTTCCTTTAGGTTTCATCAGGTTTTCCTTGATAGACATAATCCACAGCTCAGCCTCCTGAATGCTGGGATTGCAGGCGCATGCCTGGCAAAGGCTCTATTTTTGCTATATACATATGTAGGATTGCTAAGGCTTATTGAGGTATTGACCTGTTATCACTTTTTAAAAATCATTTTTGAATATCCTTTTTTGGTCCTATAAATACTCTTGGCTCTGACTTATACTTTATCTGATATTCATATAGTCACTGTTACATTTTTTAGTTAAAGCTTTGCATATTTCATATTTTTCATTGTCTTTATCATATTTGAAGAATGTGAACAGCACATACTTAGGTCATGTATTTGTATCCACTTTTTTTATTTGTATATTGCTATATTTTGGCTACTTAAGTAAGTATCGATCTTTTAGCACTTACATCTGCCGTATTAAGGTTTGATTTTAGTTCATATTCCATTTTTTGCTCTTCTCTTTTTTTTTTTTTTTT